TGCTCCCTTCTCCTCCTTAGTTGCAGTATAATTAAAATTAATACTGTTATTCAACTAGAGTTGTTTAATTTGTTATAGATATATCTGTACCGCGAAATGTTAAAAAAAAAAACACTTTTTTAATGACGTACAACTCAGGGGAATGTCCGATCTGTCCGCTTAACGTTGCACGGCAGGTGCAAATGCACGGTTCTGATTCATATCAGATTTATTTCCACATATGAATGAGGCCTGAAACATCAAGTATGACTGAACTCTCGCAGTTTAACGTTACAGGTTTAGGGGTTTCTAAGTCTTGCACCCAGCCGCAGCAGAATTGTTCATAAGCTTCTGAACTCTTACATTGTGTAGGCAGTAATGTTAGGCACTGATACCATAAACCAGGTAATTGACTATGTCAGGGTATGTGAAAGGTGGCAGTGCTTTGGGTCTTTCGTCCATTCTGTAGCAGGTCGTACGGGTCCATGTTGTTGATGTCAAGTAGTTTCTCTAAATAACGCTGCTTGGTGTTATTTAGTCTCTCCCGATAGAGCCCCTTTCCTTTTGCTTCCCCCTTCATTTATTCCCAAGAAACTGTGCCTTATCACAAAAATGCAAACAAATATCAAGCTGCTCTCTCTCTCTGTCGCTATTTCTCTCGGTCTCACGGTCGAAGTAACTATGACAACGGATAGCGTATCCTTCCAAGATGGCGACGCCTTCCCACAATGCAAACGCGTGACGTCACACTCATTCTCATTTTGCCCCGTTGCATAAAAACAACGGGACAAAATATTTCAACAACAGATTTGTCTCAGCACAGCTACTAGAAGGTCAGAACGGTTGCTCACGTCACATCTACATCGTCAAGCTCAGTTTGAGCCTGCGCAGTACGCTTGGCTATCAGGAAGTGAGTGCTTCTAATGGGCTTCAACTTTCTCTGTTGAAATCTATGGGGTCGCTGTGTCCATTTCTTTTACTGTCTATGCTTGTATTGCGTGCAGAGGAGATGTCATGTGGGCGCGCGGTTTTTGAATGAGCTCGCGAGTTCCCGTTTCCTCGCGTGTAGATCTGTTATCCTCTCGTGGAAGTCATTTACCACGCGCCAGCATCAGTTGTGCGCTCGGTTATTATTGGCATCGATTAGCCGCCATAGGCAATAACGTTGTGTTGGCAGGTATACGGCAAAAACAACAACCGCAACATGGAGGGGTTTGCAATACAATGTTGTCTTATTTACATCATGATGTGTAGCCACTGCGCTGGACTACTACGTTTTATGAGGCAGCGGCAGAAACGTAGGAGGCTGGTATGCGTGGCTTTATCCCGTGCTGTCGTCTCCTCCGGTTTCAAAACATGTGACGTGTAATCACAGACTTGAGTACTAATCACAACAAATAGATTTATTAATGGTTTGTATTGAATAGTTTTAACACTGTAATAAATCAAAGATTCTAGATGTCTTAGTTTTTGACAATAGTTTTCATTTCAACACTGAACTGACTTCAGCTGAACAATGACACCATTTTCTTTTAGAGCTGCTGTACAGCCGAAACGAACTGTTTGCATCATTGAATCATTTTCCGGTTATCACTGTAAAGCTGCTTTGAAACAATCTGTATTATATAATATAAAGCGTTATATAAATAAAGGTGACTTGACAATATTGACAACAATGCCTGTATATACTGGTAATGTACTGTTGGACGTTTGCAAATCTTTCAACACTCCCTAACTCTGATCTCTAGTGCCAGTATTTTTGGGGTTTATACATTTGATGCTTTAAAACTTAATACCTACACTACAAATTCAAATTGAGTGATTTCACTGATAGCCTATAGGTTTTAATGAATAGTGAAGATGTCTGAAATGTACATCTAACTCATGGAATTATTAAATAACCCAATTAACTACAATATATGTATTAAAATAAAAAAAAACACTAGAAACAGCATGCCAATTCTGGCACACATCTTACACCTGAGGTCTAATTTTATCTTTTTTTTTTAACTCTGGTTTTTACCAATCTTTCATGTTTATCGCCATTTCAAAATAAAGGTCTGAAAACACCTTAGTATGAAAATATTCTTGTTGCAAATTGATAAATTACTGCTCCTCTGTAATTTATTTTGAAAATCATGAGATATGAATCATATGAAAACTAGAGATTGTAAGCTTTCAAATGATAGTCTGTCAAGAGTAGTTTAGGTTTAGTATAGGATATTATTGTTTTTAAAGGTACACTGAGAAGGAATTTCTCCCATCTAGCGGTGAAATTGTATTTTGCATTCAAACGAATAGTGGTCTCTAGCGCCTCGCTTTTTCAAATGTGTGTTGCAACTATGGTAGCCATTATGTACCAAGAAGCTATGACATGTATTCCAATAGCATTTCAAGTTTAACTATACATGTTCTACTGTTATGCTGCCTATATAATGAATAACACAACCAAGCAATGAAAAAAAAACCTTGTAATTTAGACCGTTACATTGACTTACCTGTCGCAACTTCAGCGTCCCTTTCAAAGTCTTTCTCCTTCATTAGCTCTTTCCACCTGGGAAAAGCTATTCTGATATTTACCCTAGTTTTTTTAATTCGCCTGTCACGTTTCCTTTTTAATTAAATTTTTTGCTTTTTTGGCGACGAGGATTTCTTCTCCTGTGGCTCGGCATAAGTATGATCCTGCATTATGAAGTACCGTGCTGTGCAGCCTTTCAAATTTACCTGGGCAGTGACAAGCGCAATCTCCTTGTCCGTTTCAGCTGGTTTCAGTCACGTGACGCTGGCTCTGAATTAGGTAGGGTAGTGCTTTTTGTACCTCTCTGTTATTATAGTTTTTCAAGATGGCAGAACATGGAAGCCTCCATGGACTTACCCGTCCCATGTAATTAAAGATAAGAAATTCTTCGCTTACGAGGATAAGTCAGATCATTGGCAGAGGTAATTTTACACCAATGAGGACATTTATGAATAAAGACATTGATTTTAGCTAATAAAGTGCTTAAACTACACAGTGTAGCTTTAAAATGTAATGGCTGTGGACCCACCAGTGGGACATTGACACTTAAGGGGTTAAAAAAATGTATCTGATTATGAACATTTGTTTTGGGTTTATTTTTAGGTTAATTGATCCTAATTTTGTGTACCTGGAACGTAGTGATATGTGACATTGTAATATGGTGAATATCAGTTGTCTTTTGTTAATGTTGGATTTGTGGACACATTAACATTTGATTTGTAGAGTAAAACTAAAAAGTATTGTTTTTCTTCATGCCGAGAGTTCAAAAGATAACATCCATTCATTTTTTTTTTTTTTACGTTTTAAATATAAAGAAAATAATAGATTCACCATTTGTGATGCGGCAGAAAGCTATAAAGCACATGCGTGTTCTTTTTGTGTGTTTATTAGAGGTTGAATTCATATCAAAATCTGCCTGAATAGGATGTCTACTTCATAAATTGTATGAAATTGACCATTTGTATTGTATTGACAATTTCATAATTTACCGTATTTTCCGCACTATACGGCGCACCGGATTATAAGGCGCACCTTCAATGAATTACCTATTTTAGAACATTTTTCATATATAGGGCGCACCGGATTACAAGGCGCATAAGATACTGCAGTCAAACGTTTGACAGGGTTTGCGTTATGCATCCACTAGATGTCAACAAATGTCAACAAAAAAGTCAGATAAAGTCAAACTTTATTAAGCTTTCTGACAACTCCGTTCACTCCCATGGTAACGTTGTTCAAACGTTAAAGGAAAACTCCGGTCAATTTTAACATTGAGCTCATTTTTTTGTAAATTTGGAGTGCTGTCAGTACAAATAACAACGACAAAGAACGGTGTTGCCTACACCGTGTTATCCTCTTTTTAAAATTTACACCCTGTTGACTTAAACGGGAAAAGTTTTAAACCTGTTTTTAGCCTCTTAACAACCTAATGTGTCATTACAAGTGCACAGCCATGTGAGTGAACACGGTGAATCTGACTCCCGTATATGTGAAAGACATGAATAAAAATTATGTTTATTCAGCCAGCTCACATACCCGTATTTTCTTCCTGTTTTCGGTCGAAGTCCACAGTAGGCGATTGTCGAGTGCGTGCGCGCGATCATTGGTAACTCAGCAACAGTGGAGACTCAGACTGTCAGCTGTCAGCCGATGACGGTGCTGTGTGGTGTTCTGAGAATATCAGCTCAAATGGATAGTTCATCCGAATCAGATGTTGAACACACGGAGGAGGTTTGATCGCGCGCGCGCCAACTCGACAATCAACTACTGTGGACTTTGGCCGAAAACAGGAAGTAAATACGGGTATGTGAGCTGGCTGAATAAAGAGATTATTCCTGGATTTCCTGCCTTCGTGAAAGCTCGGATCACATTTGAGACTGATATATCAGCCCAGGCATCCACGATCCATTGGCAGATAGTGGCGTAAGTCGCCCGGCGCTGTCTCCCCGTCTTGGTGAACGTGTGTTCCCCATCCATATATAAGGCGCTCCGCATTATAAGGCGCACTGTCGTTTTTTGAGAAAATTAAAGGCTTTTAAGTGCGCCTTATAGTGCGGAAAATACGGTAACCTTAACCTTCAGCAGACACATGAATCAAATTGACTCTTGTAAGGGGAAATCACACCAACTGTCTTCATATTTCATTCGACTGTTCACTGACTGCAGGTGTCAGTTTATACCAAAAACTTTATATAATGACAGAAAACTTAATGTAAGTGTCTTTCCGATTTAAACGCTGTTGAATATGTGTGGTTTTGTCGACTAAACCTACTCTGCAGCTCTGAGTTAATTTAGGGTTGAAGCTAAACTTTGAAGGTGGTTTGATCCTGTTCTCCTTTGATTAAATACCTTTTATCAAATTATATTATTTTATTTATGTTTAAACAGGCTTCAGTTGACTTGATTTATAGATTTCACGAATTATACAAGTTCAGTAGTGCAGTAGAGGCCATTTTTAGTGTTCAATTAATTTATAGAACATGAATGAAGTGTGTTAAACATGTCTGTACCATATTTTATTTATTGAAAACATTCTGCATATGTATCAAACATTTTACAAGAGATTTCAGAGAACAATCTGGAAAGCGTTACTTCAGTATTTCATAATTATTTTGGATATTTATTTGTAAGAATTTCAATCCATTTTTTTCTAAAAACAAACCAAGAAAACTGCCAAAAACTGGCAGAAAATGGAAGCCATTGACAGCATTTTATTAAAAAAGATCTGTGCATCTAAAAGAGCTCAATTACTTCTATGGAGTACATGCCAAAATCTTCAGATTGTTTGGACTTTTTGAGCACTTGAAGACTTCCCTCAATTTTTCCCAGTTCAGCATACAGTTTTACCTGAAAAGGGTTGAAAAGGGACACATTTCATTGTTATTTCAGCTTACAAGATAGACACAATACAAGGACTGTCATTTCCAATCAGCAGTAAAGGACCTGTGCTGTACCTGTGATCTCACAAACTTGTGAAGATCAGACACCAATCTTTTGGCTTCTGGTGCCACAGCCAAGATTGTGAAATGAGCATCTAGTAATAAGCAAATCCAGTCTATTATCTTTAAAAAGAGAAGAAAAAAGGTTAAAGGTTAAAAAAAGGTTAGACAGATGCAAACTAAATATAATTGTTCAAAACGGTTTGATGACAGACCTGAGAAAAACTTGGTGTCCGTAGAGCTGGGATTTGTTTGTGGGCATCATGAGAATATTTGAGATAAAGGAAAAGTAGATACTGTAAAAAGTCCTTAAAAAAAAAAAAGAATTGAGAAGGCAAAGGTCATTAAAGATTATCAAACTGTAACAAACTACTGATAATTAACCAAACAAATAAGCAATATGCTTTAAAATAAAACATTCCACATCCTGCCCAATGTCCAGAGAGGCACTATTTTTTCACACTGGAGATAAAAGCCCTGTTTCAAATGCTACACTTCATGTGAACTTGTGGTCTTGAACACTTATGCTGCGTGCACGTGTCCGTGAAGTCCATAAGACTGCGGGAGTCCCATTTTTTCATTTTAGGTTTCAGATGGGTGCTCACAGCCTCTATGTGCTCCCTTGATGCACACTTCAGCAGAGTCTGCGCTACTGCATGCTCCGTAGCAGATTATTTGGGTATTTACCCAAGCAGCAGCATTACGTCATGAAAGCATTGACTCTGCTGCAAGGAGTTAGGGTGCCATTTGTGACAAGGCCAAACTCTTCTCTTTTAAACTTCTTTTAACTCAACAAAACCAAGTCAAAAACTGGTCAATATGTTCATTTTGGGGGGCATTTACCTCTGTTCCACAAATTGGGATACTAAATAATGGTTAACTCTATACCAATCTAGGGTAGATGTGTTTGTGTGTCAGATACTCACAATGACCTGCGGAACCGTGAGATCTTTTAGATGTGGCAGCAGGGGCTTGTTACTGTACGCTGTCTGCAGAACCTCATTTCTATCCGATAGGTTAAAGAAAACATGCAACCAGAACAAACAAAAAATGGAAAAGAACAAAAAGCATGTTTTTTTGTAATACACAGTTTTGATGAAGGATACAGAAGAGCACCCTTGTGTAACCCCACAGGACAGCTCATAACCAGGGCTAAAGGATCTCTTTGTAGCATGGTGCTGGGGGCATCAGATACATCAGTCTCTATTGCTGGAGGGCAGAAGCCGTTCTGCTGCCCACCCTCCTCCTCCAATCCACTTTGTGTCTGAGTCAGCACTTTCATGAAGATGACACTCTCTGTGTCAAGATTCACAGTCTCAATCTCAGAGTCTGGAGTACTACAGTCAGAAAAGATTTTTATAAAATTAGTTTCACATCAGTTCTCTTTAAAAATACGTGTGCAAATTATCAAAAACTTAGTATTATTGGGTTACAGTGGCTCAGTTATTAAGAGTGTAATGGTCTGAATGTCATTCAGCAGCAGGTAAGCGCAGGACTCACCTGAGAATTGTTTTAAGACAAGCACAGGTGACAGCTTCAGGAATGTCAGGAAAAATTTGGAAAGCAATCTGACAGAGATGGAAATCTTTCTTCACCATGGCCAGTGACAGCAGATCAGGGCACACACTGCATTTCCAACAAAAACAAAAAAACAAGACAATGAGCATAGATACACAAAAAACACTAGTAGCTGGAAGACAACAGTTTCCATAGAGCTCATGTGTGGTCTAACCTGTAGCAGAGGTACCGAGTCTCCAACAGCTGTAGAAATACAGCCTGAGGGTAGAAGTTGGCATCTGTCTGGGATCTTGACACTAGCTCTAATGCCATCCTGCCTGTTGCCAGCTGTAGGTCAGTCTGAGTCGTCAGACGAATAAACTCCCCCACCTCTGCTTGTACATCCTCTACTGCACCAGTCTAGCAAAAACCACACAGTGCATCATTACGAACCATTGAACTATCCAAACTGCAAAGGCTGTTGTATATACATATATTACACTTGAGAATATATTTGACTTTTTTTTTTTTTTACACTGTAAACGGTGTAATGCACAATTATCAAAAAATGGTAACACTTCACAATAAGGTCTCATTTGTTAACATTAGTTAATGCAATAACACGAACTAACAAAGAACAATATATTCTTACAGCATTTCTTACCCTTTGTTAGTTAGTTAATAAAAATGTTTAAGTTAGTTCACATTTTTAGTAATGACAGACAGCCTTATACCTTAATGTGTTCTATAAGTTGATCCACTGTTAGTGCAGACTTGACAACAGAAGTCTGCAAGAAAAAGTAAAGCAGAATATATTAAGTGACAAATAGTCAGAATCAATACATTTGAAACATTAAATTATATTTGAGTGCACATTTATATGTACAAACAATTATTTGGCTTTTTCATGGTGAAAATATAAAATTACAAAATTAAATATATTTAAGACCAATTTTTGGTAAAATTCGAACTAAATTTGGATTAACATGTTTAAAAACATTTAAGGGTATCAACAATTTTCTCAGAAGGGTACAAATTACAACTTCAAATGTTTGACAAACAATGAGCTCTGTTAAATTCAAAATATATTCGATTCATTCATTGCTATAGGAGAGGAAGAATGGTCTAAACTCGTTAAATCAACTAAATCAACATGTATGTTAGACCGTATATCGACTAAGCTATTAAAAGAGATGCTTCCAGGTGTCATAGATCCTCCTCTTAATATCATTAATTCATCTGTCATTAGGATACGTACCAAAAACTTTTAAGCTGGCTTTTAAACCACTTGCTAAAAAAACACGACTTGATCCTACAGAATTAGTCAATTACAGGCCGATTTCGAATCTACCTTTTGTGTCAAAGATACTAGAAAAGGCAGTATCCTCACAACTATGTTCCTTTTTAGAAAGAAAAGGTATCTGTGAGGATTTCCAGTCAGGATTTAGACCGTACCATAGTACTGAGACTGCTCTCAGTCAAATGATTTGATCTCTATTAGTGTTGCTTGACCTTAGTGCTGCATTTGACACTATCCAACAGGGGTGTGACGAGACCCTTCTCACGAGAACGAGACACAAGATTGGGTTCACGAGAACGAGACAAGACTTTTGCACAATATTTTATAGAAATCCTCAACGACAAAATTCAGGATTGGAAAAATATCACCTGTCTGCAGGAGCATTTTGAATTTTTTTTTAACTAATAATCTTGTAATGAATGTTATTTCAGTTCTACTTTTATCAGTATGACATCAAATGCATTGAAAGACAACAATATACAAGCACTGTAAAAGGTTTTGCCACAAACTCAACTGACTGGCTTTTCTCCTGTATGAGTCACTTCGACCTTGGTGTTCTAAGACTTAGTGTATGAGCTTCCAGAACCTCTGATTGAGGCTGTGTGACGACCTAATTGAACTAATTTCCACAAATTGAACATAGAAATAAAAACAGTATAAATAACAAAAATAAAAAAACAGTCTCAAGTGCAAACAATAAGTGCAACCATAATCAAAGTACTGTAGTAAGGCCGGGTAGAGAGAAACGAGCGAGTGAGTTAAAGGAGAACTCCGGCGCAAAATGAACCTTTGGTCTAATAAAACATTGGTACAAAAGAAACAAAAGAAATCGCTAGTTTATACCACTAACAAGGCTCAAAATAGCCCCACACGAACACAGTAACATGAGGGTCCCTACATGCAAAACGAATCATTGAGAACTTTGTAAGTGTACAGACCGTTTAATAAGAAGATAAAGATAAAGACAGTCCACTTCGTTTATACAGACAGGAGCCATCTTTGGAAAACAGTCTCGCCTAATCAAACCACGAACGCCATTCATACAGTAGCACGTCGTTCGTGGTTTGATTAGTCGAGACTGTTTTCCAAAGATGGCTCCTGTCTGTATACACGAAGTGGGCATGTCTTTGTACAGACCGTTTAATAAGAAGATAAAGATAAAGACATGCCCACTTCGTGTATACAGACAGGAGCCATCTTTGGAAAACAGTCTCGACTAATCAAACCACGAACGACGTGCTACTGTATGAATGGCGTTCGTGGTTTGATTAGGCGAGACTGTTTTCCAAAGATGGCTCCTGTCTGTATACACGAAGTGGGCATGTCTTTATCTTTATCTTCTTATTAAACGGTCTGTACACTTACAAAGTTCTCAATGCTTCGTTTTGCATGTAGGGACCCTCATGTTACTGTGTTCGTGTGGGGCTATTTTGAGCCTTGTTAGTGGTATAAACTAGCGATTTCTTTTTACTTATTAAATGCCCCCATTACTAGCGTTATACGCTAAACAGTTTTTAGAGATAAAACTCTTTACATTCGATTATCATGAAAACAAATCTCAGAGAACGGTTGACTAGGTACCAATGTTTTATTAGACCAAAGGTTCATTTTGTGCCGGAGTTCTCCTTTAAGCTTTAGCGTTTATGTACAGTTGTTCTTGCCTTCCGATTAAAAGTTCAGAAACGGAGCCTCCCTTGTCTGTCGTTCTTCAGACATCACAGTAGCCTACTCTCTTCAATATTTAAAGAGCAAACAGAGACCAGAGCCACAACTACACAGTCCAGAGATAGGTTTGATATTGGGAGACAGATATTGCATGCAGCCTAATTTGCGCGCATCAGGGAGCTCGCGTTTCACTTTCGGGTCCCCGATCACGCGTACTCTGTGTACAGGGAGCAGCACTGCTGAGCGCACATTCTGCAAGACAAGACATTTATCCACACGATCAGTGAACCGTGATTCCTGCTGCACTGCGTACGACTGCAACTCGTGCTGGCAGAGCAGACGTTTATAATGGTTTTTATTTCTATAAAAACAGCAAAACGACAGGCGTAATGTAATGTGAATGTAGCGGTGGGATATTCTATGCTAATTTCACCCTCACGCTCCGTCATGGCGATACCACGAGACAGCTTTTCACTCAACGAGAAATCTAGTCACATTTTAGTCTCACGAGATCTCGTGGCACAAGATCTCGTCACACCCCTACTATTGAACACAACATTCTTTTGAATAGACTCAAATTATGTTGGCATTAGTGGAATTGCATTGGCATGGTTCAAATCATGCTTATCTAACCGTTCTCAGTTTGTAGTAGTAAACGAAGAGATGTCACATTGATCACAAGTTCAGTATGGAGTACCACAAGGCTCAGTACTAGGACCGCTGCTGTTCACACTGTACATGCTACTCTTGGGAGATGATATTAGGAAGCATGGGATTAGTTCAGTATGGAGTACCACAAGGCTCAGTACTAGGACCGTTGCTGTTCACTCTGTTCATGCTAGTCTTGGGTGATGATATTAGGAAGCATGTGATTAGTTTTCACTGTTATGCTGATGATACTCAGCTGTATGTTTCTTCGCGCCCCAACGAAACTTACCAATTCACAAAATGAACGGAATGCATAGCTCATAAAAAAACTGGATGACTAGTAATTTCCTACTAAATTCTGAAAAAAACAGATTCCAATTATTGGACCAAAAACCTCCGCACCTAATAACCTAGAATACTGTCTAACTGTGCACTCACACCAACGCCAGCGAGATCGGCAAAGTGGCCAAAGTCATTCATTTTCAATGTGAGCCGGCGAGCGAGGGCGGCGCGGCTGGGACGGTGAGGGCATCGAGGATAGTTAAAGTCAGGTCAACTTTATGGTAATAAGCTATGAAGCGGTTTGGCAGCAACCAATCGGAATATAGAAATCCTCCACTTGAGAGGATTCCAGAGAACACAGTCCTGTAAACTTTGGTTCCGACCACAGTTCCCAAGCAAAATGGAGGAGAGGTTGATCATTTGAGTTTGATAAGGCGTGCAACACTATTTATAGGCAAACATTTTAGCGCTAGAACGCTTGCTTTTCAGCGGGAATGCAAATTAGACTAGGACTTAACCATGAACACAAAAGCCACACCACACAAATGGCTTTTAATTGGTTTATTTCGTTAGCAAACAAGTCACTATAATTGTTAAATTCTTTCCATCGATCAATTTTTCACATTTAAAAGATTCCATGAGGTTAACTTATACCCTATTTGTGGGAAGTCTGCACAAATAACGATCAACATGCTTATTTGCTTTGCGGCCCATTTAAAAAAAGAAAGAAAAAAGACCAAGCAATCGATCTACGTCAGAGCGTTCACAAATCTTTCTACAGCGTTGTTGGCAGGGCGGCGGTGAACGCACAGTGGCGGTGAGCGCACAGTAACATTTGATGGCTGCTCTGTTAAGTCTTTGTTGTTTAGGAACCTGGGTGTGCTACCAATCTTTCATTTGAAAGTCACGTTTCTAGTATTTGTAAAACCACATTCTTCCATCTTAAAAATATATCTAAATTACGACATATGCTCTCAATGACAATGTACAGTTAGTTCATGCGTTCATGACTTCAAGGCTAGATTATTGTAATATGCTCTTATGGGTGGTTGCATTGCACACATAATAAACTAGCTGCTGCGTATTGGACCTGATGTAGTTTGAGTTCTTACCAGAACCAGTAAGTATGACCATATTAGCCCCATTCCGTCAACACAACATTGGCTCTCTATTAAACATCGTATACATTTTTAAATATTGCTGAATACTTACAAAGCACTAAATGGTTTAGCTCCCCAGTATTTGAGCAAGCTCTTAACGCATTATAGTCAGACTATTGCAATATCAAAATTCTGGCCAGTTCATATAGCAAGAATATAAAAAGCGACTGCTGGCGGTATATCCTTCCTTTTCCTATTTACCACCTAAACTTTGAAACAGTTTTCCTAACATTATCCGGGGAGCAGACACACTGTCAGTTTAAATCTAGACTAAAAAACATATCTCTTTGACCTAGCATACAAACCATACTATCAACTTCTATAATTCAATGTTAGGCTGCATAAACTTAGGTTAGCTGGAACCGTTACATCAAAAGAATGGCATCTACGCTAATATTAGTCTCCGTTTATCCCGAGTTTACCGTAGTCCGCCGGATCCAAATCTGCTTAAGGACCTGCGCCTGGACACGACGACAACGCAGCCTTGAAGTGTCAACTAGAGACTCCCCTGTGAAGGCCTCCTTCCCTTCAATTCCAGTTCGCATGGCTACACGCAAGCAACTAAAAATTCTGTATTATGCAGGCCAGACAAGTAATTTGGTGAGGTCAATTTGTAAAGAAAGCCTGTGCACATATTCAAACGCACATACCTATAGACTAAACACATATGCATGACAAAGTTCAGATTCACGGTTTTGACTTGCACCTTGGAACCCATTTCAAAGTTTGCGTT